TTTGGGGTCAGATTAGGTATACTAATACTAATCACCTTATCAACCATGGGTAACTGGTTTTCTTCTTCTTGACCCTTCTATTCATGATAGCAAATATATGGGAGTATGAGTTGGAATATCTATGATTTGCCATGTTAGTTCCAAAAGGAAACCTCAACATACCATGCAACTCCTTCATGGATATTTCAAGGTTGTCCTAACAAATCATAGTGAAATAATCATATATACATGTCAACGAGTTAACTAACCTTAGTTAATTCCGTTTTATTTCAAAATGTCGTTATACAATGTATACTTGATAATTTCTCTTTTTAATAGATTATAATGCAGTGGTTTGGAGGAACCTCCAAGAAGAGTTTTTACCTAAGGCATTATCTTTCCTTTAGTTTATGATAACTATTCCCAAACTACGAATTTTGACAATGTTGATTATCCTAATAGCTTATCCTTTCAAAGGTTTTATAGCAGTAGATTTTAGTAGATATGATTATAGACACCATTCAATATAAATTTCCATTATACTTAGTTTTATTAATCCTTATAAAATAATTACCCTAAATAAAATTATTTAACAAGACTAGGATCCATGATGTGTATAGAATCGTTGTAAAGACACCACAAAGTTATTTAGGTAGGCAATACTATTTGCCAATTTCAGTCACTATGAAATTCCTAGATCTTTGAGATTCATTAACTGTTAATGACATATTAATCTCAGATTATGATCATCTCAAATTCTATGACGCGGTCGTCGTGGATCAGAAAAAAATGGTGAATCAGCCATGCAAAAATGCACGATCTCCGACTCAAGTTACGCTTGAGATTTTTTAATTCCATATAGTTCTCAACTATACTCTCAAATTAATGTGTCGGTTAACCACATGAGCTCCATCAACATATTATAAAGAGAATGTGCATATTTCATGGGAAACATTCGATTCACGTTTTTTTAATAAATTGGATTTTGCTTTATACTATTAAGTTGATACTTTTAACTTGAACAATTATCCTATCAAACACTTTCGGTAACTCCACTCTCAAAATGAAAATAGGCGGTAGGTATGGTAAGGTATGGGCTTTTAAAACCGACCTCAACAGGAAACAAATGGACATCTTTAAACCTCTTTTATAGCATTAGAAGGATGAACCTAGTCTTGGGTCAATTGATATTGTTGTATTAAACATGTGATGACACATGTTATAAATAGTGTAATACCTATAGTAATCATGCTATTATATAAATTTAAACCTTTTAAATTTAAGACTTATCTTTAAATATTCAAATTTAATTCTCTATTAAATAATACTAAAAGTTTTAATTCAAATTAAATATTTAATTTTAAATATTATTTAAACATTGTTTAAAAATTTAAATTAAACAAAATATTCAAATTCAAATCCAATTTAAATAATACTTAAGGCAAGAGGTTATCCGAAAATTAGAAAACCATCGGATTTGCTTCCCTTGTTGCACAAGTTAGGAAACTTGTCAACCAAGTAGGGTTACAAAACAAACCCCAATAATAAAATTTTGCAGGGCACGACGCGCCTTTCGGGATTTCAAATTTTGTTGATCGATTCAAGGTTTACATGTTATGGCTATTAAACCCTAACTTAGGGCACAAGGAATGATTAACCACAAAAAGTGAAATATAAAATTCACACCTTTCTAAAACCCTAAATCAAAACCTTGTCAAATATGATTTAAGCAATTATAATGATTAAGCAGTGCTATAACAATAACCTAATGATTTTAACACCACTGGTGGGTTTCTTAACATTCTGTACACACTAGTTATGGCAACGGAAGCAATATAAAACCCATGTGTACATGCATCTTAAAGGATATAGGTTTATTCTATTATAGCAACCTACTTGTGAAAAACAACAGAAGAATTACTAATATCTTTATGCTCTTGATCTTCTTGATCTTCTAGAAGTCTCCTTGACTGAGATTTGGTTATAGCCACCTAGGCTTTGGATGGGGAGGACCATAATATGAATCCCTCTAATGGTGAAAAATCAAGCCAATGTGAAAGGAAAATGAGAATCCTAGCACCCTATTTATAGCCTTGGAATCCCTCTAATGGAAAAAAATCAAGCAAACCTTGCATACAAATCACCCTTATGACTAACACTGTTAATACATCCTGTTAAGTGATTGTGAATGACAAAAATACCCTTTCTTTTTTGTACACAAATAGTCCTTATGACTTCCCTATCTCTCTCTCTCTCTCACACCACACATACACATACACACACACACATACACACACACACACACACTCTCTCTCTCTCTCTCGCCCTCTCTCTCTCTCAAGAACGATTGTGGGTCAAAATCTTTTCAAATCTTATTCAACTTTAGCCTCTTATTTTTTCTTACCACCCTCGAATCGCATCATAGATCTTACACCGAACTCTACCATCTAGGGTTCTTGATGAAATCTTACTCCTGAACTGAATTTACTAGTGCTCAAGCTTCTACTATTAAAGTTGTAGAACATTGTTTACAAGAGACGAATTGATAGCTGCAATGCAAGAGAAGAGCCTTTAGCAAAGAAAGAAACAAATGCAGGATGGTAGTAGCTCATCAGATCAGATCTGATACAAAGTGTTTCCATCGGACATCCATGTAGCTACCTGAATAGTTTTAGAAATCAGTCGGTGAACTCCTCCATGATCATGAGATGAGATCGAACCAAAAATCATGAGATAATATTTAATCTTGTTGTTTAGTCTTTTGCAAATGAAGGAGATACCACAGAAATACCCTTATTTGAGTTACAATCTTATGTCGATTACATTGAAAAATAATTTAACCAGGATCGAAATCCCTTTCGATTTTATGAAATTTGTTCACCTTTGAAAGACTTGATATATCCACAAATAAACTTTTGGGTCCCATTCCTTCCTCTATGTTTTCACTATTATCTATTCAGTATCTTGATTTAGGCAACAATCAATTCAGTGGAGCATTAGCTGCAAACTTAACATGAAACAAAAATCTAGGGTTTGTTGTAGATGTTTCTAATATTCTTTTAATCTAATACATGATCCTGTTCTTTTGATTTAACTTCTTTGAGCCATGGATATGGCGATCCCGTTACATGTGAAATTAACATTGATGGGAAGGTTTGGACGGGTATTGAAGTCATAGATGATGATCCATCATCTTGAAATTAGATAGTGGGTGGTGGTGGTGGTGGTGAGTGGAAAAGTGATTGCAATAGCTGGTGGTGGGCGGTGAGCGGTCACATTTGTGTGTATTTTCTTGATTATATTTGGATTTTATATAAATAATTAAAAAAATAAAAACAAAGGGTATTTTTGTCATTTCACAAAACTTAACAAAATCTGTTAACAAAGTTAGTTATAAGGACCGGTTGTATGCAAGGTTTGCTCCGTAGGGAATATCCATGCAAAATAGGTTTCATAAGGATTATTTTATGGACAAACGAAAAACCTAAATGACCATCTGTGAAATTAAGTCTAAGTTAAAACATATATTTAGGATTTTATATGTATTTATGCCTATTATATATATATATATATATATATATATATATATATATATATATATATATATATATATGTGTGTGATGCAGTTTTCTGCATATATTAATTATATTTTCTGCATTTATATAAGATATTAATTTGTATTTTATTTTAAAATTAAAAAAAAAACAATAACGATAACGTCAATATGGATGACAAAAGCATTAGCGACGACTTGTTAAACACAAGCGACGACATTATCATCGACATGTCAATATTGGTGATGTCATTTTGTGGCGACATTTGTAGGTAATAATTTTCTTATTTCTTGTAGTGAATATAAACCATTGAGCCCAATTTTATTTTTTTTGTACATATAACGATTTAGCCTAATTTTATTTTTTTATTTTAATTATGAAACGACTAACATACCGTTTAAATCCTATTCTTAAACTACATCTTTTGTTCGCAATGAGACTTAACCCTCAACCCCTTAGGTGAGAAACACCTATTCAACACCTTAATACCGCTATCAAATACTTTTTGGTAATTTACTTTAAATCAGTAAATATTGTATTCATTAAATAGCTTAATAAATTCGGAATTAAATCATTAAATATTGTATTCTAGCCCAGTGGTATCAGGTGGTCACCTCCCTTCTTGAGGTCGAGAGTTCAAGTCCCGTGGTGGACATAAGTGGAATTAGGTGTTAATTTAGGAGTACATTATAATATTTGTATTTGCCGGTTCAAAAAAAAAAACTTTTTAACACTTTGAATATAAATTCGGATTAATTAAGCAATACCAGAAAAATACTTTTAACACTTTTGAAATTTAGACTTTACAACCCGTCTTATTTTCACCAGTTCGATAATCTCAAAGCTACATTTTTCCCGAATAATCATATCACAAAAACACAGAAACTTATCATCTTATTCGTCTAATTTAATACTCAAATAACTTACATAATTTATTACCCGTCAAAAAGCCAAATGTTGCAATACCCTCCTGAAACATGTTTATGAATTAGAATATTTAAAGCAATTCATTAAAAAGTAATTTGAAAGAGATTTATGTTCTCAGTTATGATCTATCAATCTATCTAATTTCATTTAGAAGAAAGAGGACACGGAGGATGGGTAGTTGGTATTACTTGTGTAGTGAGTTGTTAAAGGGATTGTATGTTATAACCTTACAATCCAAAATGTCCTTTTCAATTCATCACGCACAAGCCTACAAACACAATTGCAAGATAATCTCTCGGCAATTGTCGTGACAGATATATTTGTGGTTGTGTTTAGATTTGTTTCTTTTATTTGTAAACAGATGAATTTAAACACAAATATAATCAATACCATATTACGATCATGACTTCTAAGTCAACATGAGTGATCGGTATCATTTAAAATAACTTGATGATATAAACTTATGTGTCACTATCCTTATATTATATTTACATCAAATTATATTTGAAAATATGTGATATTTACATATACTCTTTATTTCTCGATCATTTCATCAGCTTTTTCATGTGTATTTGCATTCACTAGGAACCCCTTGAGGAAATCGTTTGGTATCAGTGCAATAGTTATAAATCATGTACTTCATTTGCACCGATTTCAGTTTTTCTAAACTTGAGCTATTCAAGGATTCTGTTATCCATGCCTCGTGAGAACATGAAGACGAAGAAGGTTGTTCGCATACTTGTATCCCAAAATTTCTATAGGATGCAGTAAAGGGTGCTTGGGTCCAATCTGTCTTCACAAGACCGCCTCTCGTTGCCCAATCCTCAGCGTCCCAAAGACTAGAGAAGATCCACATCGGTTGTTTATTAGGGAAAGTAATATTGTACGTTTCCAAATTCTTGAATTGTCTTATGGGAGTTCCATCAACAAACCATCTGCATTGAGTGCAAGTAACTAAAGTAAAACGATCATAAAATTAAGTAAACAAACTTATATTATGTATGAAAATTTGTACCAAAAAAACACCATTTGGCCATCAATTTTTTTATTGTTTCCAATACATATTTGTATTCCTAAAAGTGTTTTGTGACGTCATGTGTGTCACATCCAAACCATAAGATGTTAAGAGTCGAGATAAAGAAATCATACATGATGTTTTCAGGGTTCCATAAGATAGAGTAAGTATGAAAATCCATAGTGGGGTCAAACCAAAGATAAAATTGTTGCTCTCTATTGCCTGTTCCTTGAACGAAAACATTGGTATGAAGAATATACGGATCTCCACTAAGGTTACCAAGAAATTCAAAATCAATCTCGTCATGATCAGTTGACCCGAGAGAAGACAACTGCAAACAAACCAATTTTATTAGTATTCCACAAACTTCACCTCCTCATTTTATTCAAAAAAGTAGAAGACGATAAATTAAAGACAAAAAGAAACTATATACATAAAATGAAGTGACAGTGCCAGCAGAATTGCCAGGAACGAGTTTCATCTGCATATCGATCTTTCCAAACAAATATTGGTTCTTGGACTTAAACCCTGATCCAGAAGCCTTATCTAGTGATAACGTGAGTAGTTGACCGTTATCCAAGATCTTCCCTCGTCCATCTCCCCATGTGATGTCGAATTCTTGGCTGAAGTTTCCAGTGGTTGTTGATGCCTTCGTATTCATCATAAGAAAGGAAACAACTATCGAGATTATCACAGCTTTTCGAGCCATATATAACATTTTTGGTCTTATGAATAGAAAACAAGTTTTTTCTTTTTGTGGTGTTGCTTATGAAGTTAATATATGATGTATAGATTTTATATAGTAATGGGGCTACAAGGGTGATTAATGAGAGATGTGTGAATGAAAGACCACTTGAGGAGTTGGGGGTGTAAGATGAAGTGGTTGAGAAAAATACATGGGGGCTTGGTTAAGGAATATCATTTTCTTTCAATCATTTAATTATAATTTTACATCAAAATTACATAATTATCTTTTGCATGTGACTATATTTACAACTTGATGATCCTGATTTAAATGTAAAATTTACAACTTCATGATCTTGATTTAAATATACAATATTCTTTTTTATTAAACGTTATTATTAAAAATCCTCAAATTGTCAAACATCTTGAATTATGTCAAAATATAATTTTTTAATAAGATAAAAATTATTTTGATATTAATTTTGGTAGAAAGACAAATTTAGACAAAACAAGAGGTTTTCAGTATTAGCTATTAACTAACATTTTTTGCAGGTGGCACTGTAAAATTGGTTTTTTAGATTCTCATATAACTTAATTTTGTAACTTTCATACAATCGTTTGTAAACTTTTTTATATAACATGATTAAAACGAGTGGCGAATCCAGAAACAAAAAACCAGGGGTTGCATTAATTTTTTTATTAGGGGTTGCACTACTAGAAAAACAATCGCTCCCGTTGGAAGTTTCCGTCACGAAATCGTCACTAAACCGACGAATTTACACTAAATTCACAATGAACAGACTTTGTGATGGACTGCCGACGGATTAGTGACGGATTTCCAACAGATTTGTGATGGATTTTCGAAAAAAATCAATAAATTTACATTTCACGGGAAAATTTGAGGGGTAGCCGAGGTATCCCGAGTTACATAGTAGCTCCACCTCTGTTTAAAACATTTCATATCCTTTTTTATAACTTTTTCATATACTTTTTTTATAACATTTAATATTATTTTTGTTAAAAATACTTCATATAATAGTGTAAAAAAGGTTTAAACATTGTATTAAAAATTCATAAAAGAATTATAAGCTTCTAGTTAAAACATTGTAATTGTTTTTTAAATATCTATAAAATACTTTTCTTTGAAAGCAATTGTATGATAGTGTAGAAAAAATTTAAATATTATAACCTAAGATTAAAATGGCGTATTAAAAAAATATAAAACAAGTTGTAATGTATGGATGAATTCTAAAAAAGTCATACAAAGTTTGTAACACTTGGAAAATTTGTAAGTTTCATATGTAATCTTTCCTTATTAAAAGTATTGCATTTTTGGTCATTGAGCTGGTACGCGGGGCGTACATAGTGGTATACTTAGCGTACTAGCCCGGATTTGGATCGCGACAGTGGACCACGTACGCTGGGAGTACGTGGAGTATGCACGGCGTACGCATGGATTAATGAAACCCTAATTTTAGGGTGTTGCACCCTATTTAAACATTGTGATAGCCTCACCAGGTCATTTTTAGACAGCCTCCATCCCCTCTTGTCCAGAATATTGAACCCTAAGTGAGATCTTGAGAGTTTGAGCCTCAAAGTGTGATTTTTGGGTGCTTGTGAAGGAGAAGAAGAAGTGAGCCATTTGGAGTTGTGCTTGGACCTTGAAGATCTGAGATTTGTTCTTCATTTGCTTTCCTTGTGAGGTAAAAAGCTTCCACCTTGCTAATCCATGATGCTAGATCTAGTTTGGTGTCATTTTTGTGCTTTTTGAGTCCATGGTTTGGTTGTTGAGCCTCTTGATTCACTCCAGAAGTTATTGATGGTAGATCTAGGGTCCTTTAGGTCCCTTTGCCCATAAAAATGCAAGCTTTATGGTATTTGTGGTCTCATGCATGTGTTAAGTCATTTATTAAGCTCTTTTGAGCTCTAGATCCTCATTAAGCAATGAATGCACGTAAAGTTAGCAACTTTACGTGATAAACCACCTTAAGGAAGTCAGATCTAAGTGTTGGAGTAAAGTCTTAACCGTTTAAGAGATGAACGAGAAAGTTGGCTAATTGGTGGAGTACGTTGGGCGTACAAGCAGGTACGCTTAGCGTACAAGCCCTAAAGCGAGTATGTTGCGTGTACGAGCTGAGTACGCCCCGCGTACTCAGCAGATGGGCTTTAGACATGTAGGCTCCTCGGTGTTGGGCCATATTTAGACTCTAGATGGTTAGGGCCTTGTTAGGCCATCATAATATCATTTTGGGCTAAGGATATTTTTTGGACCTTTGGTTGAAGGCCTATGAAGGGGGTTGGGCTTAATTTGGAAAATTGGGCCATATTTGGTCATTGGATGATTATTTTGGAATTTGGGCTTTTTGGACATTTGAATTGGGCCTTGGCCTTGGGCCAAGTTAGGAAAAGGGTAAAAATATCTTTTTACCCTACTTTGGACACTTAGTGTGAGTCGGGATCCAATTATTAATTGGAGGTTATTTTGTGATAGCGCGAGGATTTTCGCAGGCCAGCAGCCAGAGATCTTTCTGTGAGTTTCAGTAGTATGAGTCTTGTATGTGTATGTGCCTAGAGGATCTAAGGCACCAATGCCGACCCATGATCTGTTATGCTAGAATACTAGATGTTTGTGTGACTCTTGTATATGTATGTGCTTGTATGCTTACTGGGCGGGGCCCGATGGTTACTCTGTATGCTATTATCTGTTATGCTTATATGATTTGTATGTGGGCGGGGCCCGTTATGCGAGTTTGGGCGGGGCCCGCTATCTCATAGTAGCCGAGTGTGGGCGGGGCCCGAATCTCGTAGTATTATTTGAGTATAAATATGTGACTGCTTGATAGGAATAGATATACTTATTGTCTGTGTGATACTTGTATGCATGCAGTAGCAGAGTGTGGGAGGGCCCGAATCTCCTAGACAGCGGAGTGTGGGCGGGGCCCGAATCTCCTAGACAGCGGAGTGTGGGCGGGGCCCGAATCTCCTAGACAGTGGAGTATGGGCGGGGCCCGAATCTCCATGAGAGTGGACGGGGCCCGTATCTCCTAGTTGCATGTTATATGTGTATGGTATGTGGTAGTTTGGGGAGACTCACTAAGCTTCGTGCTTACGGTTTTCAGTTTTGGTTTTAGGTACTTCCACTAGCAAGGGGAAGAGCTCGGGATGACTGCATGACACACACCACAGTTTATAGTCTGGGATGTTTTAGACTCTGATGTTTTGACACATGGTTTTGATACAGTATCTTGATATGATGTTTTGGGAATACATGACTTGTGATTTTATTATGATGTTGATGAATTATGGTTTTCTTAAATGATTTTAAAACGAAATTTTTGGACCGTATTTTTGGGATGTTTCAAGTTGGTATCAGAGCCTTGGTTTGAGGGATTTGGACACGCTCTCGGGTGTGTCTGAACTCAAACTAAGGAATTGGTATGACAAAATTTCTAAAGAAAATCATTTTTATAAAAAGAACTTTGAAAAGAGAAAAGAATTTTGAAAAAAGAAAAGGGTGTGGTGCATGCAATCAACCGAGCTCAAGTAAGTACTCCCAAATTACCCATACAAGTTTATGTTATGATATGTTTATGAGAACTGCATGCTATATTAGGACTAAGGATCTAGGAAGGATGCCTTATGTGCCTGTTATATGTGTATCAGCTTTATGAACTTCATGCTAGTACAGATGAGCCAGTGATATGATGGCCTGATTAGGATATGCTTGATTATGTTTACTCGATGCTCGAATGCTACTTGCTTTGTGCTTTTAGGAGTCTTAGTTATCTTTTACTAACTAGTAAACGAATATGTTAAGTTACATATTGCAAGGATTAAATAATTTCATAAGGTTAGGTCTAGCTCTATTTCGCAGCTCTTGTTTGAGTCCAACCGTTGTAGGGTAGGATCTCTCATTCGAAGAATTATCTAGTCTTAGTGATATGTAATAGTATTCGCGAGCTAGTTAGGGGGAGATAGCAGGGACTTCTTATGCAGCTGATAGCGGAGAGTGGGTTGGTGATTTCCCTAGGGCAAGCCTAGGATGAGATTAGCTTGAGAACAACAGTAGTAGTAGAAGGGACTTGGTGGAGTCAAGGCAGTTCTTGAGGAAAGTACGGATAGATGTGGAAAGTAGTATGAGCCCGTAATACTGAAAGCAGCGGATCCATACTCGAATCAAGGATGGCTGAGATGAAAGTAGTATGAGCCCGTAATACTTGTAGTGTGTGAGATCCCTCGAGTTATGATGAGTATAATGATGTTTGTTATGGTGTATTTTCAGTATGGTGACGCTACGTACTAGGCCAACAGGCACTTCAGGCACTGGTGAGGGATCAGGCTCGGGCTCTAGAGCCAGGAGCGGACGAGAGAGTTCATCTCGTCTGAGATCACACGCAACATTCTAGACCAGAATCCTGTGATCTTTTGGTTCAGTCAAGGAGGGCATCTTGGAGATACTTGATGAGAGGTTGCGTGCATTACGTACCGTGATAGCGGCCATACTAGGGGCGCGCACACTGACATTCAGGGGGTTCAGGGTTTGTGGAGCTCTCGACTATCATGGGGCTTGGGACCCTATTGCGAGTACCAGATGGTTGGCGGATGTCGCCAACGCATTCCGCACTAGCAGATGTCCCGAGGGGGACAAGGTTCGACTTGTGTCCTATCTTCTGAAGGACAGGGCACTTGATTGGTGGGAGGATGTCGGATGATCCATTGGGGATGATGCGGTTTTAGATGCGATGACCTGAAGTGATTTTTCGGCTAGGTTCAGGGCCGAGTTTGCACCTGTGATTGAGGTGCGACTGTTGGGTTTTATGTACTCTAACATTCCTAAGGTGCACATACAACCCTAATGCTTTGGATCTAAGTTTTCTCTATTATACATGCAATAAACATTTTTCCAAAGCATGAAACCTAAACTAGCATGCAAGGTGATATTTAAATCATAAAAACTAGTTAGAATATTACCTTGTGTAGTAGCTTGAATATATTGGCCTCAAGAAAGCTTAACACCAATAGTGTGATGCCTCAAATGGAATCACAAAAACCAAGAACAAATTAGGAGGAATATAAAGAGATTATGGA